AATATAGTTCTGATTGTGAGCTCCTATTTATATATAGATACTTAGCAGATAATTTATCATTACTTACATATACAATTATTTTTTTAAAAACTATAATGGCAAAACACAAAACATTAACAAATACAAAAGCTTCACGATAGGAATTATTGCAACTGTTCGTATTTATGTAGAAAATATTGGTTTGGCAAAAAATATATTGCAATGCAATTTTTACAAATATGCATTAGTATGATATTTTCAACATCATATATTATGAGACTAATAATTTGCAAATTATTACATTAAATGCATGAAATTGCAAAGCAATTAATTAGTCTCAATTTCCATTTTTTAATTTAATCACTTAATATATGCAGGTTTTCTCTCATAGCTGCGATTTAAAGTCTTAAAATTAGATACAAAATATTATCCCAGTACTAAATTCTTATGATAACTAATGATGAATAAATAAATACAAATATTTGAGTTTTCGTCATTAAGATATAAAATACTGTTGTTATTGGTCCATAATATGGCATTTTTTACAATATCCATATTGTTCATAATCATTATCAAACGAGAGAAAGCATTGGATTTTATTACATGTGTAAACTTTGTAATTTTCTTTTATTCATTTATATTATTATTATATATATATGTATGTATAACTTCTATATATTTCGGACATGACTTTGCAAAACACGTAATTTTAAAAATAAAATAACCACATGTTTCAAAACCATAAAAGCGTTACTTACATAGTTGGAGAAAATACTTACTTACAATCTTATAATATGATATATATTTATATATTACTTTGCAATTTAGATTAAACTTAATAATACATTTCTTTTATAAATATAATACCTTAAATGAAGCTATATGTGAACACAAATTTGTTTTGTGCAGGAATATTTATAAGGTTTTGTGTTATTGGATTATCTATATTACTCAAATGGGGGTCAAAAATTAACTAGTTCATGAAAAATTCCTTTAATAACCGTGTAGATTATTACATTAGCAATAGAATTTATTTTGCACTATAAAAATAAAAATCGTGAAATCATTCTATATCTTCAGAATAAAAATTGTGGAAAGTTATTCTATAGCCGATAGATTTATTATAGGCTAATACAATCATAAGGTCATCGTTTGCAGACAAAATGTAAAATCATAGGGTTTTGCGTCCATTTTCCTATTCTTTTTAATATCTATTGCATTGTTTTGTCTATTCACATGGTTTATATACAAAATTACACAAATCAAATCTTTGTCTTTGCATTAAATACAACATTTGCTGCGGTAATAACAGATCTAGATAATAAATATAATAGACGATTTGTAGAACTAATGTTCATAAAGCATAAATTCATTGAAACTTTATATGATGAACATCATTAAACAAATAGACATATCAGTAAATTGCTTGCATTATTAATAAATTAACTGAATGCTTCTCTTAATGACTGGAAGATGTAATTTTAAAATTTGATATCTTGAAAGAAATCTACATGAGGTTCATGCTTTATGAACAAGTCTATTTTGTGCAATTTTTCACAAATAATAATGTTTAGTTTTAACAGAATACGAATTTTACAAATCACAAAAATAATTATCAATATCAGAACATAATACATATATACAAAAAATATATATAATTTAGAATTCGAACTAATTATCCCAAGATCAGTTACTTTACTTTTTGCATGAATAAATAATTGGTACTCACTTTGTTTCAAGGCAACTAATACATCAATTTTGATTAATTAGGCAAAGTGTGACGGCTTTATCATAAATGAAACATATATGCACACTTAATGTTTATATAAGACTTGAATTTGATAATCATAACGTACAAATTTTTTGAATTATATACATATTTGTTCAAACTAGAAATCCAAATAAAATTGTTTTTAAAATTATTGAGTGTATAAAGATGTTAAAGTGAGAAATAAAATTTAGAAGCAATTATTATTTATCTGCTGGTTTTAATGAGAATTCTCTAACAAACACTATAAATCGAAAATAGTTTAAATAATTTTTATTTGGTTTTCTTATTCGGTGCATAACACAAATTATTAACAAATCCAAGGCTTTTTATCAAATATTTATATACTTATTGGTAGTGCATTACACTTAAAATGTTTCAAAAATATTTGGCAGTGCTACAAATTGCTTATTTCGATCATAAAGAAATTTTTATAATATATATATTTTTTAAAAGAAAGTTGAAGCACATTAAAGCGGATATAATAACATATGTGTATAGTGCACTTCAAATACAATGTCTATAATTTGCGTATGTATTGGCTATTGGCTAATTTTTGTGATGTTTATAAAAAGATATATTTACTTGAAAATACATCATTACTAGCAAACCATGTATTTACATTTACAGTTTGTTCCTTTTCAAATGAAAGTTATAATGTGACTATACATCTAAATGAAAGCGAGGTGCATCGCAAAGTTTTCATGAATGAATTTTCTATATATTATTAATATAATAATATGAGAAAAATATTTATCTATAGGTAAAATGTTATTTAAACATTTGAAAGTCAGAATAAATTTACTTTAATAGTAATGTTACTTAGAAATTATTACAATTAACTCGAAAAAGCATTATTAAATATTTACAAAATGAATATAAGTACACTAAATAGTTATCACAACTCAAACACTTATCAGTATTAGTAGTATATAGAGAATATATTTTATTATTTAAACATCAGTCAGTTTGTTTTAGCAATTAGCCTGATTGATATCTATGCATTTCGAGTTTAGTTTTATATAAAGAATATTTCCTCAACTCAAAATGTTTTCAAATATATAAAATCTTATCATATTGTCAAAAGTGACAATATTAAATCATAATTTTTAATTTATCTGTTAATGTAAATTAAAATATCACATAAAACTAAACCAAAAATCTTTCCAAGACGCCTAGCTCTGAACTAGTGTTTTGAAAAATAAATATTAACATAAATTTAGATTTGAATTTATGCATTGAGTTCAGACTTCAACGCTTTATACCTGTCTTTTTCGTGATTGTTCTCTGGTGGTTCACATTCGAAAGATGCCAGTGCTAGAGCGTTTTCTGAGAGCACAGGATTTGATTGTAAAAATGTCAGAACTTTGGCATTTTTCTCGAAAGGACATGTGACTTGTTTCCATGTAATAAATTCTGTAACCTGCTTTGCTAGCTGCCAGAATTTTTCAAAATTTATGTGACCATTGGGCAATCTGAAATCATAAAAAATTGGTTATAGATTAAAAAAAAAAACTTTACTATTCTAATAATTATTTTGTTAGTACATAATGTACTCTATTAAGGTCTCCTTTAGGCGACATCCAAAAAATGACCTGTGTGTACGAATATCACCTATAGACAATATGATATGATATGGCCAATATGACCGGTAAAGGGCGTTAAAATGAGATATCATGAAACTCATGTAGAAATATACTAACTTATTAGAACAGCCTTCGTTTAAAAAGTAGAGATCCTTCACAAGCAAGCTGAAGAATGGTATAACTATTCTTTGCCGTTCGTCAGTCGCGCCCGCCGACCTCCACATTGCTGCTTTCAGTGTGCTGCGGTAACTGCTAAAGTTGCTACTTGGATCCATTTGATGTTCTAAGATAGAAAACTTTGCTGGCTGAATCTTGCTCCACTAATACGAAAAATTGCATATTGCAGTTATTCAGTTAATTTATTTAATTCAGCTACTGAGCGCGTCTTTGGTATACTTACTGTTTTCTTCAGTCGCGATATTGGAGACATGTTTAATCCAGCGATTATTGCCATCAGACTGTTGAAGTTTCCAATATTGAAACTTTCACGAGCCGTTTCAATCCAATATTCTACGACGCGCACTCTTTGTTTCTTCTTGGCATGCTAAAAGTAACGTATTTGTTAATATCATGATTAGAGCTGGTTACAAATGTCAATTATAATCCTTTGAGATTGATTCTCATTTCTGGGAAGTTTGAACATGAGAACTAGATTCACTAAATTCACGGAAAATTAATAATACGAAAATTGTTGGTGCAATGAATGGAAGATCACTATTTTACCATTGAGAATAATTTGTTTTGCAGGATTGTTTTTATATGAAAATTATTATTTACTTACTTTGCAAACTTCTGTGGCAACGAAGTGGCTCAACCTATTAAACCACTGAACATACGATTCCAAATTTCTCGTCTTCTTCATATCCTTGAATGATGTTTCAAGATGCGGGGTTTCTTTAGCAAATGCTTGAACAAATTCTTCAGGACCGATATACGAAAGTCGTTCCAGCTCGATATGCGTCAATTGTTGGGCCAGTGTACCAGGACTCGGGCAAAGTTCGGTGATGTCCGTACTTTCCATACTACCCGTATTAGTGGCATCTGATAATCGTTTCAAAAAGTCTTCGTATTTTTCCAAAGTGGTCAGTCTGTGTAATAAATTTTGAAGAAGAGCAGAAACTTCTTTTCGGATGCAGGGATCTACATTGACGCATTTTTGTGTCATGGAGCGAACGTGCTGCATCACGCGTTCATCACGAAAGTCGTAAGGGAATGTTTCGGTCCATTCTGCAAGAAGTTGGACTAAATGCGGCACGAAACGGCCTAAAGTGTCCCTCCGGTGTGCAGGAATGTCGCACTGAAAGAATATCAACAGATTTATTACACCATTTTAGGAAAAAAGCACCATACCATAACAGGTACCGATATTTCACTACACGTTCCTTGGCAGAGAACTTTGACTAGAATGGATTTGCAGTTCACAAAAAATGTGCATGAATATAAATGAAATTGAATATTTGAAAATATATTTTAATAAAGACACTTTGACCCTTCTATATTTGATTGTGTCATAGATCTAAATATTGCAATTAAACTCTAAATCCTTCCAATAAGTCTATTATCTATTTCCATATGAAATACTTACTGCGTCGTCCAAGTGTTGTTGAGCATCGCATAACGCACATACTTTAGCTAAAAGTTCATGTGGTTTAATGAACAGACGTGCACTCAGCAAAAAGGCAAAAAGATAGGCTCTATCGGGATAATATTCCCCTGTAGGAACCGTATGTTGAATTAAGGCCTCCAAGGAACCAGACACCAAATTACCATCCCGATATACCAAAGCCTAGAAGAGAAATTTGTTATTGATTATGTTAATTCTATTCGATAGAGGAGAATGATAAATGGGTAATGGAAAACTATTCTAAAATAAATTCAATTAGTCATACATTGAGAAAATCATTATGCTTCCTTTTTTATAAATACATTAATTAACAAAAAAAAAAAATTGAAGAAATTTGGAATCCTCAAAAATATGAAAATTTGCAAAAATAAATTTATTTATTAATTTGTTTTAAAAATTATAACTAATAATTATAAAAACAGATCTTTAATAATTTTGGAACTGTGAAAATTGCTTATATTAATGATGATACAATGGTTATTGACCTAGCTGTAATCATGGTTGCGGAACTATATGGGTATAAATCTGTGTTCTTTAAAACCATGAGCATATAATTTGAATTATTAGCAAATATATTCCCTAATCGATAAATAATATAATTTATATGACATAAATTATTACTTACATTGTCAACATCCAATCCATCATCAGCATATGATTCAGATCCTTTATAGCCAGGTAGATTATCAGTTCCGGAGCCTGGGCTACTCGAAAATAGCACTGAAAATGATTTACCATCTCGGGGTGTTTGCGGCAAACTCTGTAAATTGTAAAACCATGAAAGATTTTTGTCTTTAATTAAATTTTATATATATTATATATGCATTATTATCTTACGCGTCTACTCGAAGCATCCTTTGGACACTGATCAGAGGTTACCGTTCCAAAAATTGTTGGCTGAAATATATCAAATTAATGTTATATATTGAATTATTATTATACATTAGAATTATTTCGAGTTATCCATGTCAACACTATTATGTCAATTTCGATTTACTATATATGTATTTATTATCTAGTCGATGTCACATTAATCAATTTAAAAAGAAGTTTTATCATTCTCATCTTTGGTACTAACCGACAGCGGGGTGAAGCTAGGGAATACGGGTACACTATATCCGTCAGCGTCTACTTCATAATTTGGACTCATAGGCGTCAACGGACTCTTGAATCCAAAATGCGTGTCATTCTCATCAGTGGAATCAATAGACGACATCGATGTAGGCGTAAAGGAGTTTCCCATGCGGAAAGCTTGAACCGTGTGGCTAGCCACCGTGCTAGATGACAACTCATGTCCCGAATCTTGGGACAAATTAGCGATTCCATTGTTGTTTCCTGCTATAGAGGAACCAGAGTCACTTGTTGATGCGTTGCTGGTCGGTCTGGAACCAGATGTTTCACTACAACTGGATGTGTCTGCCGGCGTATTGCGAGGAGTGGCATTTTTATCATAGAGAGGAATTGCGATATAGCTGTCTTTTCCGTTAGTGTAATCGACTTTATTGGCAGGAACGACTTTTATAGGTTCCCAAACCTCGCTGCATGAGCTCGTGTAATAATTATCTTCTTTAGTTTCTCTGGATCTTTCGTCGACAACTTGACCACCGCGAGCTACTGTGACTTCTTCTCGTGTTACCACAGAAGATTTGACGCTTAAGGAAGTTTCTAAGCGTACTGGAGCTCTTAGAATACCAGCACGAACCAGTATTTGGTTTAAGAGATCGCAAGGAGGCACCTGGCCAGTGAGCATGGCTTGCTTGATGGCCGCTCCATCTTCGCCTTCCAAGGTGACAGGACAACCGTTTATTAGAAGAACTTCTTCTTCACGTATTGATGATTTCTTTTCGCAATCGACCACTTTCACTCCTTTGCCGAGAATCGACTCGACAGTCTCTTGTATCTCATCATCCATTCTGAAGCGATTTGTTCTATACGAAAAAAATTGTCGGTGTTATTTTGGAGGCAAATCGAAACAAAATGATTGCCTGCGTAGAGATATGATACAATAGAGTATTGTGCTTCACAATTGATTATTCAAAAAACCTTATTGAAACAATGTCCGAAATAAAAATGCAAGTTAGTGCAATATATTTCCTCTATTTTTGCCACGGTTCAATTTAAATCGTCATAAATACTTCAATACGCCAAAACATATGAACTGTTCACATTAATACGAGCGATAATAGATTACTTGTCATCAGAAACGAGAAAAAATATTAATGATCATCTGGCAGTCGACTGATTATTTTATTAATTAGTAACAGATATCCTACGTGTTAATGGTTTCAAAATTAAAACCAAATGATAAATGCATTTGTGAACCTAAATTTCACATTAACGTTAAAAATTCGAAATCGAAAATTAAAGCAAACCATATTTCATTATATGGGAAACTTTACCACGTGGTGCATTTGTCATCACGTTATAAAATTGAGAAATGAACTATGTATGTGTCTGAAAGAATCGTCATATGTTTGAAAATGCATAAAAACAATGCACATGAATCTGTCAGCGCCAGTTCATTTTTCCTGCTCGTCGGCTATCAACGCCGCCGGCTAATATTCAAATTCTTTTCAGACGGAAATACACGCTCAATTGTGTCAATTTTATGATAAAAATAACAAAAAATGTTATTGAAAACGTAGAATTCAATTTATTTTCTAAGGTTCATTTTTGCGTACTCATAATAAAGTTTATTAACTGTCTAATAAAACAAATGTATTAACATCATTATACGTGAGAACTAAGGTTATTAAATTTTATAGATTTTATGCATTAACTGCATATAAAATCTGTAACAGCTTAATAAATGTGCTGCAAATCATATCGCATGTACTCAGATATTTTTTTATAAATATTCAAGTTAAAATTTCTACACGCTAACAGAAAATATTTTACTTCTAATTTCATACTCATCGTCTATATTTTTTATAAACTTGTCTAGTTACTATTTAAATTGATACGTAATTAAAATTCGAAATACAAAATCATTTCTATAAAGGATTACAAAATAATGGATGGTTCATAAAAACTAGAATAAGATTCTGATCTATATTTGAATTCTATATTAAAATTTCCACATGGGATGGTATGGTATGTTTGTAGTTCAAAGATATCGACATTTGAAATAATATCGAATGAATTTTCAAATATTTCTCAACATACGTACTACATATTCCATGATAATGCATATTTCAGTATACTTGGATAATCCTTTGTACATCAAAGATTTATCTATTTCAAAAAGTATAAAATGAGGAAAATATTTTCTTCGAAGTCTTGGTAATCAACTTTTCAAAAACAATTCACAAGCTTGCTATAATATAAATTTAATACATTTGTGTAATATAATAATTTATTATAATATGTAATGTAATGGTGAGAAAAATTTATTGCTAAAATTTTATTACTAAAAGTGTAATAGAGTGGAGGTAGTAGTAAAATATAATTGCAGTACAGAAAAACATCTCCTAGGCCCCGCACAATACGTGTCTTAAGCCAGAAAGCGTATTATGCGGGATAAGGAGAGTATGTTTCAAGGTGCAGAAATATTATGTGAGAAATCGTATTAACAAGATCGCCTTGACGAGGTTTTACTTTTTAATAATATGTACTAATTAATGAGCATAATTACATCAACTGTTCGTTTATTTAAGACATTAATTAAAATGTTACATTGCTAGTAACATATAAATTTTCTAATCTCAATTATTTTTTTTAAAGACTTCTTTTATTTATATTTTAACTCTTTCCATTCGTGAATTGCGAAATTTATATGGATTTTGTCGCCGGAGCGGCGGCATCCGAGTGGAAAGGGTTAAAATAAAAGTTAACCCATCTCGTTGTGTTTATCTCAGAATTTTAATGGATATTTCTAAACGCTGATTTGAATATTCATTTACCTGTCTGAAATGTCTTAAAAGTTTAATTTCAATGAAATTCGAAATTTAAATTCCATAAAGTCGTCTTCGCCTTACGAATGCTTTTACGAAAATTGTTTTTTTTGTTATTTAGATATTCTAATATTACATAATTAACATGTTGATGATAATAAACCAATTATATATTTATTTGCGATTAGATGTAAGTTACAATATCTCTCGAAACATTATCGTCCTATCGAGCAAAATAATTGAATGCATTTTAAAATATTTTAGATTAATATCAAACCTTCAAAAATTCACGGTTTTAATTAAAAATTCAACCTCGGTCGATAAACTTTCAAATAAAATTAATGGATTATGATAACTTAACGCATTGGCGATTTAATGCCTAGCTATTAATAATTTTTTTAAAATTTGAAATGTTAAATAAAATTTATATGAAAGACCAATATTAATATAACAACCGATTCGATGCACTCGACCTTACAAACTGCACTTCACTGAAAACTGTCGATAAATTTTATTCCTAACCACTTACTATAAACCAGTCAAAAGTTTTCATAATATTTTATGTTCCTTACTAACAGATGTAAATGAAAATTCTAGAATTTGCTCTTGTTGCCAAGAAATTTCTAGTATTCATAAACAAAACCTTATCAATATTATTGCATGAATAGAAACAATCTTGAAATCGACCTCGTATGTTGTAATATTTATATGATGTGATATTTACTAATTTGCCATTAATTATACCATATTGTTGATTAATGCCAAGAGTTGGCATGAGTAATAAGTACATGAATTATAAAAGAGAGATTATAAAAATTGTAACGCCCTGATTATGTTCATTCATCTACAGAGTAAACAACCCAGTTAAGAAGGGATAATGTAGATTTGAATTATAAATGCTGCTAATATATATATATATATATATATATATATATATATATGTTTTTTGAACCATTCAAATCGGTTGATCCGTGCGCCCGAAAACGTGGACGAAAAATTGTATCCATATATTCACACACACACACACACATCAATTTTTTCTAAGGTATGCCAAAATGTTCAGAAACCTTCAAAACGTGAAGATATGCAAAACTTTTGGACGATTACAATAACTTACCCTACAGGAAGTTAATTATGTCTGAATATACCAAAAATTTAATTTTGCAAATTATAGCTAGCGACTTAGCCGCGTTTATATTTTTATTTGAAATTTAAAAATATGCATTCTAATAATGAGTGTAGAGACGACGTACAAATTAGTTATAAAATACAAATGGAATACAAATCATTGAAATATAAACAAATTATTAAGTTAAATTTTTACAAATTAGTTTAGAAAAGATCATCATCATCAAAAAGCTGACCTGTTTCGGACCAGAACTATAAATGTAAAGCAAATACTAAATACTAAATATTCATCCGGAATTAAATGATTTTTTTACGTTCTTGTTTGTATTGTGTACGATCCGGATTGCGTCACTCAACCGCGAATTATGAACGATGTTTAAAAATACCTTTTTTACGTTCGGTTTTACGGTAATATAAATCCAGACTACACAAAAATTTTGGCCTTCAACATAACGTTACAAGAAACCATCAGAGAAACGACGTGTGTAGGAAATTTGGCTTCGCAAAAAATGGTAGAGGATAATAGAAACAAATAAAATTTTAAAAAATTGGGACTTATAGTTTTAAAAGTAAAGAATTTCTTTTCTTTATGCACTATACGATACTATATGAGCACACTTTTCTAATCACATGTTTACCAACAAATAGATTAGCAAGGATGTAGGAATCATCTGATTAACAAATCTATTCCGCGTTTTAATTAATATCAATTAATCATTTCCAAATTATGACAAAATCAGAAAGATATGCAATCTATTGAACATTTAATGATAATATATGCAGCTTGGCATATCTCAAGAGAAAAGTGCTAAGGTGTATGGGAGGACACTCTGAGCATATAAGATGATGTTTCGTCCTTGGCATAATGAAACTTTCAATAAACATTGCAATATTTTAACCAATGATATTGCGAGAATATATATATATATATTCGATTCCTATTGATAGGGAGATTTGCTGATTAGTTTTTGGCAAAGACAGGTGCAACCGTTTCGGAGATACGGAGCAAAGAGTGCAGAATATTGAAATCGAGTTTTTGAGAGAACGGAGCATCCGAATCGAATGATAATGATTGGGAGAAGTGGTGATTAGTTTTTGGCAAAGACAGGTCCAGCCATTTCGGAGATATCGAGCTAAATGTGCAAAAAATGTCAGTTTTTGAGAGAAATAAGCATCGGATTTGAATGATTCAAAAAACTTTTCAAATTTTTTATTTCCATTTATTTTTTTAATTTCAAAAAAAAAATTTCGAGTATCGAAAATAATTCCGATTTTTTTAATTTTAATTTGGTACGGGAAGTTTCAGCAATTTACCTCAAGGCACGATGCCATACACCACTTGTTAGCTTTTTGTTTGATGTTAACAATCTTATGTCTAGAAAGGTCGTATGAAGATGGTATACAAATTAGACAAAAAAAAGTCAAGTTATCAGAACACTAACTCCCTGTTAAATATATATGCATATAATAATTTGTTCTCAATTCTCAAAATTTAATACATTCAGTTTCATAAATTCACCTAAAGCAGTATGACCAAACTACAATTTCATCCGAAATTCTAGTTTCCTAAATGCACCACTAATTGTTTGATATGTTTTGAAAGTCATAGATCTCTCCAATACCATATACAAATAACAGAGTCAATTAACGTAATGAACACAAAATCAAATTTCAAGTACGGCCACATGGGCTGACTGCAATACTCCTAATTCATTTACTTGCATGAAATCAATATTCCAATAATTTCGTCCCACTACCGATATATGGACGGGTTGATTCAATAAACAAAATTGAGACTCATGAATGGGTTGATTCAATAAATAAAACTGAGACTCATGAACGGGTTGATTCAATAAAAAAATATGAGACTCATCGTTGCATAAAGTAATAA